AGCAGCTGGTGCAGATGCCCCTACTGACCCATCTTGGTCCAGAGGCTTTGCTGTGTGTCAGCGATGTATGACTGATGCTGGCTGAGAGGCACTGTGTTTTATTAATAATGATTTGTGGGAGGTGACACCTGATCCCAGAACAAATGCATAAGGATCAGTGGTGTCATGGGAGTGCGGCTGAGTTCACGTCTCTGCTGCAGGCTCTCAGGCTAGTCATTTATCATACTCAGTTCAAAGTCAGAGTGGGAGTAATTACAGGCTGGCTTCTTTACTTTTTGTTTAAATTCAGTTCTATTGAGGTATGTCTGTGATAGTGTTTTCCTCTCTAAGTTATGGTTTTAAACACATCAGATATTACTCATACTGTAAACTTACCATCACACTATAGGAGAAAAATGTGGTGGAGTAACCTCTTGAGTGGTCTTTCTACAACCACCAGACCCGGCACCTCTAACCCCCACACCAATACATACTAATCCCATTTCAAAGCAAGTGCCTCCTCTAATTTCAGAGACAATCCAGTGAAGCTTTACTTGAGATATTGAGGCCAAGTGCTCAGTTCACTACTGGGTGATCTGGACCATTTCAGAATGACTTTTTGAACTTTATCTTGAGTCACAAGCTCTTAATAATCACAGAACAGGTCATTTTGCAATGCCAATAAAATTTGTGTATGAAGTACAGTGAAGAAGCGTTTATTGTTACTGCATGTTAACTGATTAAAATGGGTAGGGAAATACCTGTTTACAACCATAAAGTTGCATTTCTGCTGAACTGGAAAACTATTTCATCACATTTTGGGTAAACCAAGAAAGAGTTTTAGAAAATATTTGAAACATGAACAGTGAGAGTTTTCTATAAATGGTTTAACAAGGTTATTTGTGGAGTATAGACTATAATAAATATTATTCTAAGATGTTTACTGTGATTTGTGAAAATTATTAGGATCCATTTCATTTCTGTTTTTGCTGGTAGTTAGCCACTTTTATGATCAACAGTGAGGCGATATTGTTTGTCAAGCTTTCCTCTGCTACTGCCATCTACTGTTAACATATGGAACCGCACCTATTTAACCTTTAAACAAATAAATAAATGGATGTAATGCTGCTCCACCACAAGAGGGAGCCATGCAATCAGCTTGAAGAATATTGTTTCTCCTGACATGTTGAATGATAGCATCACATTACTCTGAGGCAAAAGCTGTGTCTGTGAGTTTGCTCAGAAAGGAAGCTGAAGTGCTGATTTGTTGTTCATTATAATAACAGACATAAAAAGTAATGCAAATAATCATTAGCTCTATTTCTAATGCCTCAATTGGCTTTTTGGATTTAATATTGATAAAGAGATTAATATGGTTCGTTTGTGCAAAAGACTATATAATAGTGTACTGATTTTACCCATGTGGAAGGTTCTTACACAGAGGGTATATGAGCTGAAAACATGCCTTCTCATTTGTATCAATTTGGGGCGACCGTGGTTCAGTGGGTAAAGCAGTCGTTTCTCAGCCGGAGGGTCCGAGGTTCAAATCTCGGTGCCTGCAGTCCCCATGTCAAAGTGTCCTTGGGCAAGACACTGAACCCCCAAGTTGCCCCTGATGGTTAGAGTTATTGGTTGAGTTGGCGCCGCAGATGGTTGCCTCGGTTCTGTACCAGAAACAAATTGCTTGCGTGTAATATACTTGGCCAAATAAAGGTGATTATTATCAAAAGGGATTAGCTAAATATTTCTCAGAGATCTAACTGTGTGAAGTCAACAGCTGAAATTGCAAAAATATCCAACACGTAAGTAATGTAAAGGCCACTGCTGCACTGATTGGTTTTAAATCTTTTTTGGCTTGTAATTCTCTAAACCAATGAGATGATTACTTAGATTCACAGGTATATATTTGAACAGCAGGTCATTCAAATAATGATGCATTCTTTTAAATAGGTTTCAGAGACTTAGTGGTGGATAGTTATTAACTATTTCACAAGAGCTTTGGGAACTTTTGTAGAAACTTAGAGACATAGTTAGAAAAATAGACATTACAATACATTAGGATAATAGAAACAAGTTTTTCATATTGTTACAAATCATTTTACATTGTGGGATTGTGATCAGCATCTCAGGTAACTGTTTATGATAGGATACCTGCTGAAAATGCAATTAATGAGTTTAGATTTGCTGTATGACAACAAATGCCACTGGCCAAATATAAAATTAAAATACAAAGTTTAGCCATTCTTTCAATGCTTCAGTGTTAATGTTGACAATTATGCAGATTTTGTGTTGTTTACAGCAAGTGAGGTCATTTAGTTGCACATCATTTGTCTTGAAGGTGTTTTGCTGCTGAGACAATGTGTATCATCAATGCCAGTCCATGTTTTTGCTTTCACTGAAAAGTAGCTTTTAATGTGCAGTGTGACTTTGCTTTGTAGTATAGTTTTAGAATGGCATTGGATAAGTTACACTTTGTTATTCCCCACAGGGAAATCTGTTCTCTGCATTTGATCCATCTTAACTATTAGGAACAGTGCACAGCTGCAGCACAGCGCCTGGAGACAGTCTCCAGTTCTGAGGCCAGCAACTGGGTCATAGCCAATGACTAGTATGAATAATGAGTATGAATAATTCCAAGAAACATATCCATCTTACCCGGTTTAAATGTCATTTCACTTTTCATACAGCCAAATTACAGAGTAAACTATACTATCCATCCATCCATCCATCCATCCATTATCTATAGCACTTATCCTGTAGAGGGTCACGGGGAAGCTGGGGTCAGTCCCAGCTGATGCTGGGTGGAGAGGCAGTGTATACCCTGGCCAGGTCACTCACTGGCCTGTCACAGAGCTGACACAATTTAGATTCACCAGTCAACTTGTATATCTTTGAACTGTTGGAACACCTAGAGAAAACCCACACAGACACGGGGAGAACATGTAAGGCTACGGTCAGCTGCGAGGTTCAAACCCAGAGCTTTCTTGCTGTGAGTCAACAGAGCTAACCACTTCACCACCTTGCTGTCCTGAACCATACCAACTATGTATTTCAGCTCTTAGATGCATTTTTACTTAAACTTCTCAATACTCCGAAGGTGTACTGTAGTATAACAGACATACAGGTACATAAGCTCTAAATCTAGACACGGGATTCTGAGCAAAGAAGTCCCTGTGAGGAGTATATTGACTCAGCATTCTTAAATAATGTATGATTAAACCTGAAAGCACAGAAGAATATGCCCCTCTTCTGATAAAACTGTAGAGTCCAAGAAGTACTGTTATTCCCTGTCAGTTCAAGGCCACTGGGTTTGAATTTGTATTCATACCGTAAACCTTTCTTATGTTTATGTGAGGTCACTAAACTATCCAAACCGCACAGACCTATTGGAAATTGCTTGTTTCAGCCTGATAAATGCCACCTGTTCATGAGGATGTGCATGCTCATGTTGTTTGATCATTTGCATAACTCACCCCCTTAAAATGATTAGATAAGGTATTTGTTTCACTCGTTTTTGTGGGGACGTTTTATTCACATAAATGTTACCAAAGAGTAAAAAGATTAATTTACAATACAGACCTTCAAGTCATGGTGTCAGAAATCAACAAATACTTTTGTCACTGTCAGTATAGTGGAGTCAATGGACTGAAAACAGAATATATTAATAATACAGCTGTCAATGATGTGTATTCCAAACAGAATTGTAATGTCACATAAATAAAGGGAGGATGATATAAAATGAGGTCAGATACTAAAATGTGTCTTTCTAAAGCTTAATGACACGAAGGGTGGGCAGGGACATGTGACATTAATGATAATATTAGATGGGGATAATATTATAGTTCACAGAAGGTGGTGTTACACTGTCGAGTGCAATAGAGGATGATAGAGACCTACACAAAAAACCCTGAGGCAGTTGTCAGAGAACTCCTGAACTGGAGAAGTTGCTGTGCTGAAATGTGACAGTGAAAATGATATAATCTAAAAAAAAAAAACTAAAAAAAAACTTCTTAGCAAGCCATGATGATCTGGTGAACGGGATATTAGTTTTGTACTAACTCTGTCTTGTTATGCGTTTTATGTTAGTTACATTCTTTATCATATTTAAACTCTCATTCAGTTTAAGGCATTATGATATCAGGTCAAATCCAAAAGTGGCATATAAGACGGGAGAAGAGCAAATTCTCAGCTTGAGGAAATCGGTGAATGTAGCCAGTTCTCTTAAATCACTCCTAAGTACCACGTAAAAACGTATGTTTCCATTGTTTCCTTTAAAACAAATCCATTTAGTTAAGATGACAAGGGCATCGTTAAATAAGTTTAAAATATGTAAATTTCATTGAAAACACATGATTATGCCATTGTACTAAACACATTTCTCCACAGATACTTAGAAATCCTTGTACATACATGTACACAGATCCACACGCAATTTTGTGACTTTGGAAGACATTGTACTGACTTAGCTTCTTTTGTTGTAGTCTCAAGTATAACCATTACGTGCCTGGCCCCACTGGTACCCCTTAAATAGAATAATTTCCTTTTGGGAACCTAATTTTTGCCCCCAAATGGGAGATGAATCTCTGGACTATGAATGTGTAAACACAATGTCACACACAATCATGGATTTTAAATTACATGAGAGACAGTGAAGTTGTTTTAAAGTCTTTTCTTTACAGCCTAAAGATTATTTTTACATCAATGTTTTGCCTACAGGCTACTTATTAGTGGCTGATATGTGGTCAAACTAATGTTGTTTTCCCTGACATTACTGTGTAATCATGACCAATCTTTGCTAGAGATTTGGCTGAGTATGAGTTTACTGTGCTTGTATGTGTGCTTCGTGGGGAATTGATTAGTCACCTTTTCTAAATACACAAAAACTGCTACTGCACACTTTCTTTGTGCAAAACACACCTCTACTTTGTCATAATAATTTCCTGGTCGAGTGACGTAAACCCATTGATCCCTGAGCTGGAGTTCGCGCCTGCAGAGGTTAACCTGAGGACAGACAGGAAGGCCCGTAATGTATACATGGAGTAGGGCAGACTCTTGGCTGAGAAATGTGAGCAAAGACCTAATATCTCACACATTCCTTTCCTAATAGGCCCACCAACAAAGAATGAGCTGCAGTTATGTGCAAACAGATGGTTATTCTCAACTCAGACTTATGATGTACCCTCGCTGGCTTGGATTTTTAATGTGTTCAGCCCACACAGTCAATTTGCATGTGCATGTACTGTGTGTACAAAACAGAACTGTGTGAACTAAGATCTTCAACTTCTGTGACCCCCTGTTGTTAACTAAAGGGTAAAATTTACTGCTAAAACACATGCAAAATCTTAAACATTTAAAAATGTTTGGACATATTTGTGCTCCCCTTTCCTTTCTTCTATTTGATTTTACTGGTGATAGGAGCACAGTGCACAGAGCCAGACTTGTCTGCTCCATCTCCTCCTGGTAAGAGCTTTATTTAATCTCCGTGCTACGGGTCACAAGCTAGCAGGACATGTTGAGCACCTAATTTATTCCCACCATTTCTCCCCAACCATCCACGGTGCTTCCTCAGATTCATCACCACCCTACCAGGTTTAGGCAAAATAAACAGAATCTATCGTACAATGCTTCAGATAGGTTTAACATATGTTACTACTACATAAACAGTACTGTATCTCCATCCATCCATTTTCTAGCTCTAATCGGGGGTCAGGTCACGGTGGTAAACAGTATCTGAGACTATCAAACTGAAACAGACCCACAAGCTACATCACCTGGAAGAAGGCTCCCACTGCTCACCTTGCCCACTTTCCATTCTAAAAAGTGCATGTGAACTATTCCCACTGTATATGATCTGTGAGGTAGATTTTTCATTTCAGATCTATGGTTTCCTCTCCTAAAGCTGGGAGTTTTCTCCACTGATACTGCAAAACTTGCTTAGATTATGCTTCTTTTCTGAATCAACTACAACTCTATTTCTGTTGGCTCGGCATAAACATTTTTGCGTTTTCTACCCATCAAGCCATATAGAAAGTTATGAAATTCATATGCAGCAGTTGTTTTTCCCATCACTTGAAGCTCCAATCTAAACATTGTTTTTACTGAGTTGCAATCCAATTTAGTAGCTTATTCATGGTTGAATTTGTTTGTTGAACTTTTTTAAATTTTAGTTCATATATAATTTATGTTTTTAATGAAGCTGAACTGAACTGTAATCTATTACATGTGTGATTGGAAATGTCTCAACTGATCTGTCTTGTATTTGTTCATCCATGTGGAAAAAGAGAAGCCTTGTGCCAAAAATGACTTTATCTTAAGTAACAGAGGAATACAGCTATTGCTAAAAAATGTTTTGTTTAAGCAAGAAGTGTTGCTTAGCTTGATCTAGAGTAATCTTTTTATGGTGCTTGCCAGATGCTAATGTACTGTACCCTGATTTTAGAATTACAGTGTAATCTTATACTCTTGTTCCTATCCTCTAAAAACAAAACCTAAATGTGAAATAATCTGCTTCAGAAATGGCTAAAGAGTTAAATTTATACCTTTCTTGTTAACTGGAATCAGTGAATCACAGATGATGAACAAGCTGTAGCCAGGTAAATGTTGCACAAAGTTTATCCAAACACATATTTATGTCCATAACTAGCCATGGCTCTGGTCCTCCTGGCGCGCTCTCCTGAGAGCCAGGTGTCTGCTCCCATCAGGATCAAACCTTAGCTTCTCCTCACTCTGCTCTCTCTCTGCAGTTTTGTTAACTAAACAAAGACTTGCAGTCAGCCAGCACCAACTATACAGTACATATGCATCTGTTTAAAATGTTAATGCATTTCAATTGTATAACAAATTATCATCAAACAGGGTTCAGTAATTATGTGAATTATCACCATTTATGTACCCGGATTACAGCAAATGAAACATGAGTGCTCAAATTGAACTGACAGCGCTTTATTAAGTGAATTAAAATGTATTTATTCTGTGTTTATTGTACCATCATTCGTTTGGCTTGCTTCTAAATTAGTCATTTATGCCAAACTAAAATGATTGCTGTATATCTGCTCTGGCTGAACAGAGCCAACAGCAGTGGTGGGTTTCTAACTAATCTTTTCCATTCAAAGTGGTATTAAATCAGACCAATAAGCGATGAATTTAAATTGTTTATATTTGTAAGAAATTAACCAAAAATTTCCCTCATAATAGTCATACAGAGTTGCACGTTTTGCAGCAGGAGCACACAGAGTAAATGTGCACACATTTCACAGATTGTCTCTCTGTGATTGTGATGAGCATCAAAGCACAGAGCGGGTTCATTGACACTTAACCTCATCCACTCAGTTTGTTGTTACAGTTCGTGCTTTGGAATAGAAAGACGCTTTCACTTCTAAACATGAATGGGCCTTGCCAAAGGGGATATGGTACTGTTGTCAAGTAAATGAATGTTGTTCTGTTAAACAGAGGCAGCTGCATCACCCCCTTATACACCAAGTCTGCATAGCAGTTTATTGGCTAAAAGATTTGATGATTATGCTCTGGTGTTGTCCTTGACACAGTTACTGTGTCCTTGTACACACTCATGTGTATTCCACCCACTCCCTCCCCTCTCGTAGTGGGTCAAGTTCTGCATGCATTCTCATTGAGGGTTTGGCTGGTACTTGTGTGCCAACTGCATTTGGATGGTCTCAGGCAGGGATTCAGCTGTAATCAGTTATCGGACTGATCAAGTTGTATTAATGTTCTGACCTGCATTCACACTCATACTGATCATGCTTCTCTGCTGTTGCTTCTTTTCCAGAGACTGTGGAGGCTCTGGCAAACATAAATCAGGTAAGGGTCAGAAATCTTTTTACCTTGGTCAGTAGAATCAGTGATGTGGTAGTTTTTCTATACATCCATCCATTCTCCATCCATTTATACTGTCTTTACTGTATTTAATGCTTACTTCACATCTCTTGTGTACAAGCTGCAACAGTTTTTATTATTGGTTTTCACAAAGTTGCTTAAACCTTTAAGAGGGGGCTCCTCCACTTTGACACTGAAACATTTGTTTACATGCCTGGGGGAATGCTACTGCATACATGGAAAAAACTGGAGTCTTTTGTGGTTCCAAAGGAAGCAGTATCGATCTGATAAACAGCCTCCGGTGATGTCACTTGAGTTAGCATTAAGTCTAAAGACAAAAAATTTGAAAGTGAAAAAAATCTGTGGGTGTGGAGTGAGAAAGAAGTGACCAGGCCTCTATAGCCATCATGTCTGCTTGAGGCTGGCAGCTGTAGGCTACATTGACCACGACTAGCAAACCTGAGTCTCTGACTGAATAGTCAGCGGTTGAGTTGCATTGCAGCAGGCACCGGGCTTTGACAAGGAAGAAGAACATGTGGAATAGAGCAGCAAGGATTAATACACTGATTGATAGAAAATTTATTGATACCTATTGATTATTGGTTTCAATTTTTATGAAAAAATGTGAATTACAGTTTTTTAGACTTAAGATTTAATTAAATGACCAAGAAAGTAATCAGCAGATTAAGAAATTATTAGAATAACAGTTGTAACAGTAGTAAAATATGATCTTTCTGGTTCTGCTGCACTGATTTTCATAATTCTGAGTGAGATCACCTATTTGTTCCTCTATGCTGTTGGATTTGTGTGTGCGAGCAAGTTCATGGAAGACAGAAAGACTGAGTGCCTCAGCTGAACATGGGGATATGGGCGTAGGAGGCAGCAGGAAAAGTATGAGATGACTTTAGTGAACAGCTGTGCAAGTGTTGTGTTATTTGTGTGTACATGCACTTGCATGCACGCGGTCTTAGAATACCAACATGCATTACTAAATTACACATTAGTCCTGCAATCAGATGCAATGCTGCTGTGGCCATCCTTCCTGCAGTCTGCCACAGTTATGTATGGCATAGCTGGTCAATGAAAGTCTTCATAAATGACTTGTAAGTTAATTTTCTGTCTGCAACTCACTCTGAGGAAAAACTGTACCAGAGTTACCACCAAAAAGAAATAGGACCCAACTTAATTTCATTTGGTGTTCCATGGTATTGAGGCTTTACGTAACACGGAATTCCAGTTACATAGTGAAATGGAAAAATGGTCTTATTTGAGCTAAGTGTGTGTGTGCTGAGTAACCTACATTCAACCGGTGCAAGATATTAGATTGGTTTCTAGTTATATTCATATTGGTGAGCTGGAAAATTTGTCATATAGTGCCTGTTGTTTTCATGGACGGTTTAGCTGCTTTAATCTGAATGGTTTAGTTTGATATCAAATATTTCAGTATTTAAAAATTTCATTTGATGGGATCAAGTCTACCAATGAAAACAATAATAACACCCTTTATGTCCGGTGCTCATCTTAATTTACTGTTCACAGTAAACACAGAGCACATACAGTACAAGCCCTCCACACTTGATCTCTACACCTATTGTCCCCATGGTAGCCATTAGTGGCTAATGCAGCTGAGAGACTAATCTTTCTCCTTTAAAGCAAGACAACAGATAAAGTAAGTCTGTGGTGAATTTGTGCTGTAGCTGCAGCTTATGGTTTCAATAATTACATGGTGCAGGTCTCCCATAAGAATTGACTGAGCCCCTGCCCCAAACAGCAGAATGTAACCCTTCACCACAAAACTGCAAGTGGTTATAAGTTCAAATAGGAACTTTGTTTACCTGGCAAGCAGAAGAAATCAGAGCAACATCTTAGATTCTTCAAACCTTGACTCCCACTTCAAAAACGATGAGATTAAAGTCAAAGAAAGAAATGCTATCTTCTGTCTAACATATAGAGTTGTCAGGATGCTGAGCTTGTCAGCATAAATCTGTGTCAGATAACTGTGAGTTATGCTGTCATAACCGAACCCCAAAGGAAACATCTTTTGGCAAGGTACTACAGTGATGAAGTACTTACAAGCAATGCTTTATCTGTACACAGGGAAGAACGACTAGGGTAACTGTTGAATAAGTAAAAGCAAAGAATCTGAGCAGTCAACATAACTGATTCTAGGGTCAGATACTTTTTAGGATGCTGAGGTTTTGGAGATTTTTGTCATCTTGAAAGCATTAGTGATCATCTGTGTACAAAAAGAAAGCAAGATGAGCAAAAGACAAAGTGATGAGGGGAGAAAAAGAAATGGAGCGCTCGGGGGTGTAGTGCATGTGAAAAGCAGCTGGAGAGGAGAGGAGAGGAGGTTTACGTGGCAAGTGGAAACCATTTCAGTGTTGCACATGGACTGAGGGAGTGTGTTTATATGTGCAGACTTGCTGTTTCTATTTGAGCTGTGGGTATCTGGGGGCCTATAAGTTGTGTATGTGTGATTGGGATTTTATCAATGTGGGTGTTTACATACGGTATGTGGGTATATGTGTGTGTATTTGTGCATGTATGCTTGATGGCAGGAAAAGGGTTAATTTGTTCATGAGTTAGATGGTAGTGAGTGGGTCAAAGAGTTTGTGTGTTTGTGTTTGTGAACGGATTAGGTTTTAATTTGGCATAGGAAATTGTTAAAGCAAATAAGCACCTCCAGATCACTTTAACAACCATACAGTTTCAGCAGCGTTTTTTCCTCAATAAACAGCTATAAATGTTGCATTTTGTTTTTTATATTGCAGTTCATTTCATGGATACAGCTTTAACATCAGTGCAGAAATATATTTTTCTTCCAAGTTACCAGTTAAGGGGTTTACCACTTAAAGGTCATCAAGGTTCACCCCTTGAAGCAATGTGCAGATCAAATACACTCTGTTCCTGATAAGTGACCATTTGTGAAAGTGAACTCTGGAAGTAGCACTTAAGCTGCTTGCTAACAACACCAGAAACTGTTCTATAATGAAGTAAGTTAAAGATTTGCCTCTGATTCCAGACTTTTTGGAAATCTGCATCAGGAACATGCAGTACAATGTTAACTACTGAAGTTAGTGTGGAGGTTCTTGCCTCTCTTAGTGCCATGGACTATAGTCTTTACCTGTAGGTCCTTGTTTCATTATGTTCTGTTACATGATACACAGTCCTGCTGTGGGTTCATGTATAGTATTCCCCTGATTGACATTTGTAGTTGGTAATCTTCAAGAAATGTAGCAATGCAGCAACAGAAGCAAGAAAGAAGACTCCTAGGAAGCTAACATGGATATAAACACTGATTTGAAGTTTTTAATTTCAAATCCCAGCTCTGCAAATGCAAAGGAAAACAGTGCATTTACAAAGAAATGTCACTACCTTTTAAATATTTGAAAATGTTGGGTGGTGTACCTTTTTAAATTCTATAACCTTTACACATTTGTCTGGGTCTGAAAAATTGAAAAGATCAACAGACCAAGGGGAGATAATGAAGATACCGAACCGTTTTTAACAGCCATGTGAAGGCTGCGTTATTGTAAGATGATTTGGGGGAGAGTTTTTGCACTATTTGTTTGTGGTCTACCCCTGGTCCCTCGGGCCCACATACTGATTCAGTGACATGAGTGCATCTGTACTACACTGAACAGCAGTTCTGGGTCCCTTTCTAATCCAACTGCACATCTGCTGCTGATGAGCCAAACAAAGGCGTTGCACTTTGCCAAATTTTACTCCTCTCGACCCAGTTCTGCTCTCATAAAGTTATGCCAGGGTTCAAAATATTGCATTAGCAAATAAAGGCCAGTGCCAACTGTACTTTCAAACAAAAAGCTTGGTCCTGAAAAGTATCTCCTAAAGAAAAATTCCTTGTGATGTTATGGGTAGACTGCACTCCCTGGTTTCCTCCGTTTGGTGATAAAGTATTGCAAAGTTCTCTCCTGTCATCATGTTTGGATGGAGCTGATGACGGGTGAGTCGGGGTGGGGGTTGGACGGAGTTAGGACGTTTGGGAGTGCAAGGGTGGGAGCAGGAAGCGCGTGTATAAATCTCAGTGAGCAGAGATATAAACACAAAGTAGCTAATAGGGCTATCTGATGGAAGCCAAGAAGAAAATACTTTCTCCTTTTACCCTCACAAATATGTTACAGATATGTTGTGCATACATGTTATGTATAATATAGATATAAGCACATTCAGTCTAACACACACTACAAGAGTTTCCCATTGCTTTTGTCTGATGTACCCACCGTCAATATTTGTTTCATACAATGTACCATAACTGTCAGTGTTGGTGTACATTTACACAGCTGCTACGTCACAAACGCAGGCTGTTTCAGCCATTTATTCTTACTTTTAGCTATTTAAGCCATTGATCCATTACTGTACGCTGTTTCAGCCATTTATTTATTGCTTGTATCTAAGTTAAACTTTACATATTGCTGTTAACTGTTTCCACCAGTTATCTATTACTTTGATTATTTAGTCATTAGGTTTAGCTAACTGTTTTAAGTTGTGTTCCTCCTTGCTAAAGGTTTTTAGCCATCTCTGTGTGTGGATATATTGCATGTATTTAATGAATTCATGATTTTGCATTTTCAGTGGGGCTACTCACATGAGATTCACTGTTCTGCAACACTTGCATGCCATGTGAAATCACCTTCTTTCAGGGGGTGACTGAAGTACATTGACTTTACTTGGCTGATGCAGTTCACAATATGCATATAGCTCTAACATATAGCTAATTTTATGCTCATCTTTTTCTACACGTAACCTATTTGAAATTAGTCCAAGGCTGTTTGACCTTGTTTTTCTCATATATGTTCTCCTTCTTTTAGCTCTGTCTTCCCACTCTTGCTAAATATTTCATTTCCTGAATGAGGCTGAAATATTAGGTTTTGTCCTATTGACTTTGCTGACAAAATCTTTACTCCATCACCTCAGGTCTCAAATTTATTGGTCAACACAAGCAGCAGTTAGTTGCGTGTTTTATAAACTTTTATTTACATCACTTGACATAGATTATAGCTTTATGATTTCATGACTTGTTGAGTTTTATGTTTATCTATCATGAAATTATATTGCTGACAAGTCCCCCCCCCCCTTTTTTTTTTTGTTGTTTATTTTGATAAGACAATGTCCAAGAAATCACATTTATTTGGCATGGAGCTCATGACAGGTCCTTATTAAATATCAAGGCCACAAGAAGTAAGCAACAGCACAGGATGCTGTAAATCCACAGGGTTGTTGCTTGTTGTGGTTCTTATACAGTTGGTTACTTAACCAGTGGGTAAATTACTGAAAAGGTAAAGCAGAAATAATTTAAATGCGTTAAGTAAAAGTATTACATACTAATAAATCTCTATATCTAGAGCAAGCCAAGACCATAGGTGATGGCAAGGAACATGATTTACAAGCACTTTGGTTTCCTTGTTTGCTTGTCCGATACCTTAACCACCTCTGCAGGCTGCAAAAGTTGTGATGTCTGATAGCGGCCTTTTAAAACATAGCATGGAAAAAAGATTCTATAAAAGCACTGACTTCAAATGAGGAAGTAAATAAAAATGAATTACAACTGTGAGACTTTTTTCACTGGCAGACATTCTGTAATAGTAATAGCCAAACACTGTTTGCATGAGTCATCTTATTTCCTTGTTAACTCTACATTATTACTGTGTTAATTGATCTAAGTTCAAACAAAGTACCCCAGCACACTTTTCAAAGAATAACGTCAAAAGAAATATCATTGTTTGCTGTAACTGAAGTAATTGCTGTCATATTACACTTTGAAAAACAAGTAACCGATACCCAGAATTTAAATAATGCGTTCTTTCCAGTGTTTCTGCACCCATCTTTGTGGTTTGACAAAGCAGCTTGCACAAATAACATGAAGCTTCATAAAACCACAGCCCAACCACAGTAATCCAGTGTCAGACTCTATGGCAGTTATACCATTTGAGATGTTAATGATGCTTCTTGAGTTCATTTTGATATTCATCTCCTTGATTTTTCCAATTTTGTTCCCCAATTGAATGCAAAATGTTATCCAGATATAGAGCATTATTAATCTACAGACTGAAGAGCTATCACCAGGTCAGCTTTTTGGAGAAATGCCAACTTAATCCTAGTTGTTTTAGTCATTCCTTATTTAAGCATAAAACCTTCCATCTGAATTGGTCTTATTTTCCATCCTCAGGATAAAATGGAGTTCCTCTTTCCATATTTACCACATTAAAAAATGTTTTATTTGCATTGTCTTGTTTCTTCTTCTTCTTCTTCTGGTGATGATTTTTTTCCTGGAAATATTTATATGAGTTATTATGTGAGTGAAGAGCTAATATATATAATATTTTTCTTCTCACTAACTACAGTAACTCATGGCAGTTAAAACAGCACATGAAGTGATGGGATCACAATATTGTGATCACTGCTGTGTTAGTAGAGCTATTATTGTGATTCCAATTCATCATAAAAGAACATTGATTATCTATTTTAGCAGCATTATTCGGTAAACAGATATGAACTAAAGTGTGCAGACAGTAGCTCCCTTTGTTTGGGAGCTTTGAACTCTGAATGTATGAACCGAATTTCAGCTGGAGTTGTGTCTGCATTCCAGCTGACACTTGTTAAATCTGATTTAGTTTGTTCAGCTATACTTGTTTTAGAAATTTTTCATGATTAAGGTTTCAGTACAGATAATTAAGATTTACCAATTTAGGGGGGGAGACAGTTTTGTGGATACTTATAACATATTGGCCACTATATGCTCTTTATACATCTTAAGAAATGAAAACATCTGTTTCTGTCTTAAGAAAGTAATTCCTGTAATTAGTATGAGCCAAACTCTGGTTAAATAGTGGATGTGATCAAGTTATGAGAGCAAGCATAAACTGTGAAAAAAACTAAGTCACTGCTGGTGCTTATATGGTTAACTGAGCAAAGTAGAGAAAGGAAGATTTTCATTGGCTACACTGCGTGCTGTTGTCAGAGCTCTAGTATTTCATGGAAACAGAGGGCCATCCCCCTGATCACAGCTCCAGCCTCTTCATCTGGTTCTATTTAAGGCCTCTAGTGCCGGCTTTTATGATTGGTGTACACAACCCCCTACTCTTCCTCCAGCTCCAGCCCCAACTGAGGAGAAGGAGGCTTTTTTGCAGATGGTTTATTTTCCAAGGGAAACCATTTCTTTCTCCCACACTACTGTCCTCAGCTGGCTTTAGCTCACATTTCTATGAATGCTACAGTCCCTTCTGCTTTATCCTTGTTGCTCCTCTTTCCATTGTGTTAATGTGTCTACCTGCATCTGCTGACCTGGTCTCAGCTTTGTTGGACATTAGGAATGAGGCCCCATCAGTAACACAGAATGGATTTTCTGCAGTTGACTGTCTGATCCTTTAGCTTTTGGAGGGAGATTCTTTTGCTTGACTTTCAGCATCTCCGTTGCCCTTGATGTTGGGCTGGAGGGGGATGCAGCTCTATGGCTAGACTCTCAGGAAGATGCACTGAACTCTGTCAGTATTGTGATTGGCTGAGCTCCACAGACAAAGTGGCCTATGGCACAACGGGTGTCCAGCAGTCGTTCTCGTGGACCTATGGCTGGCAGCTGGCTGACAGCATGTTTTTTTCCATCAACACCAGGTCTTGATGCTTCAGACTCCATGCTCCTGGATCAATATGTGGTGGTGGCCAATTACGAGAAACAAGAGCCTGCAGAAATCAGCCTTCAAGCAGGCGAGGTCGTCGACGTCATTGAAAAGAGTGAGAGTGGTGAGTAATCAAAACAAATGCACAACACAGACATGGCGAGCAGGGACAGGCAGTGCACATGTTGTGTCCGTAGCATACATTTTTGTGATTCAGTCAAAGGGTCCTCAGACATTACAGTATGCCCCTCTCCCTAACTCAACCTTCTCACCTCCTTTGTCCACAGATTACTAGTTCCTACTTAGCCCCATCTGGAGGCTCACTTTGGCTGCAGTCAGCCCTGTTTTTTTTCCCATTGTTGGTTTAGGCTGAGGGCCATAATGTTGCCTCTAGCAAGAGGAATGTCTTCTAGGCTCACTAATTATTACTCCTCATTTGAATGGAAAGCCAACAAGACATGCCGGATTTACAAATGCCAGCTGCTGAGAATCCTTAGTCAGCTGTTTAACCTCTTGAAAAAAAGCATACAGAAAAAGCCAAGACTGTGTTTTATGTGATGCAGGGTGACATGAATGTTTAATGAGTCAGTAACATGCTGATTAAAGGCCAAGCTTCATGGTATTCTAGCAATATCCTGTAATGCCTCTTGAATCACTTGTTGACACAAAAATGTTTTAATTCATTTTTCAGCAAATGTATATGAATTAACTAAAATATGAGAGTTATCTGCTTATTTCACAAATACGAAAACAGTGTGTAAATATTCTGAAACTGTCATCTATTACTGACACCCAAGTCTCTGTCCCTGCCTGAATTACTTGTCTTTTAAAAGGATTTTATCACATGAAGCACAAGAGTGACTTGAGAAGAATAGGCCCAGTAACAGGGTCTGACATTCAGCTTTAATGGTGTGCTGAGATGGTAAAACAGTAATGGAATTCATGTGTTCTTCAGAGAAAGGACAGGGAAAGTGAGATGAAGGAGGAAAAGGTGACCAGGAAGTCAATTGGACTTAGGTTTCATAAGGGTGTGAGTGAAATGCCATGCCACACTGGCCTTAAGAAAGAGGCTCTGTAGAGTAGGACTGCTTTGAAGTGTCACGTGCTCTGCCTTCAGGTTCATGTATTTGTTTTCATTCCCTTCTCCAGTAGGATTTCACCCCAGTGGGGAGCCACTGTGAGGCAGATATTCCAACACCTTGAAGTCTTTTTGTTTCTTATCAAGGCCCATATATGGGAGCTTTCTTTCATGAAGTTGAACTGCATAGTCCTGCGCTTTTAGATAGAGGTCCCTTCACAGTGGTATTTCAGCCAGCCACTTTGTAAAGCTATAGTGGTTAATCTGTGTTGATAATCCATGCAGAATGTGATGTATGATTTCCAGTTTTCTGTTATTCATGTAGCTTACTTTTCATGCTAATATTGCTTCGTTTCATTCTCTTGTGTGATGCAGGCTATATCTTGTTGCTACTCTCAGCTCAGTTCATTCATTCATTTCTTTTTAGGTTAGATTCATTGTACATTTTTAGAAAACAAAACAGTAGACGCCAAGCCTCTTAAAACACCTCCTATGGATATTTGACAGTTTTATTATACAGGGACGGACACTTTCACACAGATCTGAAGTAAATACAACACACATACAGTATATCTTGCTATGGTGACTGTTTCCAACAGCACAGTGAGCATTTAACTAAAATCTCACCTCCTGCAATGGAAGTCAACTAAAGCTGCTCCATTTGGCTGGGTGACATCACTACATGTCTCATTGCCAACATTAGCAAAACCAGGTGTATGCTAAGAATGTCTTCGAGCTCATTTGATTTCACATCAATTCCCAGTTCAAACTTTATAATAGTTTCTCACAGATTGAAATGTGTATAGTAGAGCTAAGTAGTGAGTATGCTAAGTTAGAGGTATTAAAATGTGTCTGTTAAATTTGTTGTTATAAAGGAGGTTTTATGAATGTATATCCTGCTTTGGAATATAGTAGCACATTTTTCCTTTAAAGTCATTTGCATTTAAACCAGCATTGGTTCCCCTGCAGAGTATTTAGATGTAACACTTTGAAAAAACTCTGTATATTGTTTTGTGAGTGTCTAATTTTGCATCAGTGTTTTTATGAGATTATTTGCATGTAAAGTGTGAGAGTATGAGACTGTAATGGTGACAGATCTATTAATGGAAACTACACCTCTGTATTATTTTTGCCATTCACCCAGAAGTCCCTCTGTGAAAGCTCCTGTACCATAGACTTGTGCTACCCAGTGCAGCTACTGACTTTTCCTTACCTTGGGTTAGATAATATATGCCTTTGATAGAGCAGTGAATCTAGGTCACACCTATAGGCAAGCTCAGCTTTATACACTTTTCCAGCCTGTTGTCCTGAGCCAAGGCAGTATTTTTCATTGCGCTGCCATGACGATATAGTTTGTGTCATGGCCTTTGTTTCAGATGGTCCAGTAGTTCATATTGATTGCTGGTTTGTTGAGTTTGAAGTAGGTACAGTATACAGTAAATCAACAGGGCAGACCAATGTCTGCTTGATGTTTTGTTGTAGCAGTCGGTTTCTCTTCAATTTTACTTAGAAGACTGCTATGACTGTTTGCCAGGCTCCACAAAAATAAATCTAGGCTTAATATAAAACAAATACATGTTATACAAGTTGCAATTTAGTATTGTCAAAAACTGTGCTGAAATGAAAATATGTTTTATAATTGTTAATTCTATCCTCAGCCCCTCTTCAGATATTTTATTTGTATATTTTATGATCGTTTGCCAGCAGGAGATGCTGGCTCCGGAGGAGGGAGTAGCTCAGGGAGAAAATGGAAAAAGCCATTTCCTGCCAGAGGTAGTGGTTCAGAGAGGTTGGTTTATTATAGTGGCTTAATGGATCCTCCAGGATACCTCCTCAGTTTACACTGTATCAGAGAGATGTTAACCAAAGCTAAGCTAGCAGCCTCGTTGGTCACTTTGAATGTTTTGTAGATAGTTGTTTAAACTTTGGCTTTTAATGGAGTCGATTGTAGGAAAGGAAAAGATTATCTGCATTGTCTTCTGGAAATACTGCACTTCTTGCAGCTAGTTTGCCTACACCTCAAGGGCAGTGTTGTACTTAGTTCCATGTAGAAAATCTCTCTTTGTGGACCACTAAGGGTTTAACTTGCCAATTCCAAGTCTACATCAGTCTCTATGAATTACAGCTTGCCAGATGAACTCCAGGAGTGTCTGTCTGTTTCAGGGAGGCCAGCTCAAATCTGTCAATCTATCCACCTACCAAGACCCCTGGCACCACCCATGTACATATTGTATCTGTACTGCTTCACCAAGCTTCCTTAAGCAGGTTGAAAGTACAGGAAGAGTTGTAAGGGTTACTTTGCAACACAGTAATGTTATTGTCTTCACAAAAAGTAACGACTTTAAATTTGAGAAATGTGAGCCATAGAGAAGCTAAAATGTAACAGAGGTACCCTCCAGGTTCTGCTTGACTGCCTGGCAGGTTAAACTGTTCTGGCCCTCAGCATGGCATGATGGATGTGCAACATGTCTGCTTGTCCTTCACAGGAAAAAAGTGTACCAATACGTGTCTTTGGCCTGGAAGCAAGATGTTCTCAGGGCTCAGCTCAGCAGGAGCTTGATATTCAAAGAGACATATTCTTTGAATCATCCAGGAACTGAGTTTCCTCAAGGACCGACTTACTGTTGCTCTTTAAAGGATCATTTCTGTAGCATTTAAAGGTATATGATTATTTAAGGCACTATTTATGTAATTGCAAAAATTCTAGATGTACTAGGGTTTGGTCTATGTTTTCTGACAATCAGAGTATTTGTCCTGCCATTCCTACAGCCATGCCAACAGCATGGCTGTAGGAATGGCACGGTCATCCTGGTGGTTGGTTCAGACACTTTGGTCTAGACTGATATATCTTAACATCTATTAGATGGATTATAAATTTGATGTGTAGGCTATATCCATGGTGCCCAGATGATGTATTCTGACTTTGATTATCCCATAATGTCAAACGTAATAAACCTTGCATCTCATTCAAACCCTCAATCTACATTTTATTGTTTTACTTGGGACACACTCAGAGGTCCTTATACTCATCCTACCCAGATTACAATTTATCAGAATGACAATTGATTCTCTTATGTTCCTAGATAATAGTGCCAAAAGGTGTGTTGCCTTAATCCTCAGTTAGTTAATCAGGAAATTGTAGATTTTGGCATCAGTGCTTCCTGAAAATGTGACAAAAGTGTGGCTGTTCCAATTTGTCCATCTCTGATATTTAGGAGGCTTAAATGGAAGGTCATCATTGAGCTTCTAGTCTCCTGCTAGTGCTCAAATCTTAAGTTTCCTATTTTGGTTTGTGCAGTTTCAACAAGAACATCTTTTCTAGTCTAAGAGAGGAAAAACCCTATAATTCTTTTCAGTGAACCACCATGGACATGATACCAAAAACTTGGCAAGTATTAAATGTCATAGAACAGATGGAAGACACATTATCCACTCATAGTAATCCCCATCCTATTCTTTCAACTTACCACAGGAAGTACTAATGGCCAGCTCAAAAATTTAACCTTATCCTGTATTTTTAGATGACAAATGAGAGGTTTGAAACCGGCATCTAAACATACTATAGCCTTCTACTGCATTGCATTCTAGCATTTGGTCACTGAGCAGTGGATCAGGAGCAATACAAGTATTTAAGGGCACAAATACTGCTGATTGTAGTGTACAGAAATCACTCTGTGGAGCCAAAAAGGTGCCTCCCTTTCACTTAAGGATTGACCACTGAGTTAAACCAGCATGTTGGTGGGTGGGGGGGCTTTCAGATGCTCAAGGACAGCTGTGTCTCCAGTTCAGTGCAGCCCAACACAACTAGTAAGTTGTGGGCTTTTGCTTCATTCAGACCATGAGGGGTTTCTTTCAGAGGCTCAGAGGGAGTGAAAGTTGTTCTGTGGGTCAACATTAGCTTTTGAAAGTTGTTTTGTATCATTTTTGCTCCCTTCCCTCCCTCCCCCAGGACCAGTGCCACCCAGGTAACTGAACTCGGTGTTTCATGAAAAGTGTGTGTGTTGGGCTAGATACATTATCCCTTGGTGCTTTGATACGTGATCTAC